ATGCGTATGCGATTGACATTTTGGTGAATAGCTAATTCCGTTTCAGATATAAGTTTAAGCAATTGTTGCTAACTTTCCACATATCTACATTTAACTCTAGGCATAAGGTCGTGCAAACCTTATTATACTATTGTTGGTTCGACCTTGTTTTCGAAACTTGGTCGGAGCTTACCTTGTGGAACGTACCTAGTCCCGTGTCCTCTGCCATAGTATTCGTGATTTCCAGCATTGGACCATTTGTTGGGTACATTCCTAAACTATTTACCGGCATCGTTAGTGAGAGGCGCCATCGTAGGCACAGAGTTACAACTTATCAATGTGAAGGCAATCCCCTTGATCAATTTTATGTTCAATCGCTGTGGCCTCATTCCTTGCCTCTAATTTTTGTGTTACCTCCTAGTGCCACTCCCAACCCCACTTCATATGGCCCATCCACTTATTAACACAATTATGTGCTATCATTTTCTCCAATATCGCTTAAGAAGGTATGAAGACCAAGATGGCGTGGCCTTTTGTATGGTCGTGGTCTCCTTCCGTTGTACAGAAGTTGTTTGACCTTGTTTTCGCGACTTGGTCATATTGGCAGGAAGACCTAGAGTAACGCACCTTGTCTGGAGTCCATAGTATACATTCCGTGGGAATTTACCAAGCACATAAGTCGACTGGAAATTATCATGCATACTATGAACTCCGAACAAGGTGCTTTCCTTTAGGTCTTCCTGCCAATATGAGCAAATTGCAAAAACAAGGTCAAACAACTTTTTATAGTAGTAGTTACCATATAGAGTCATTTATACAATAAATCGTAAGAAAGTAAGTTGGTAAACATATACATGTATTTATAAAATAGACAAATTGGGATGTATACATGGGATTTGCAATTAACCTATTGCAATATATTCGTTCTATATTAAGTATTTTTCAATCATTTACTCAGCCGAAGTTCGTCCTAGTCTCGGCACTCACGAGGATCGAGCTGCGCTCTGGAGTAATATGGACGTGATTGACTGTTTTGCTACCGACCATGCTCCTCATAGCCCGTTGGAAAAGTCAAATACCAATGGTCAAGCCTTTCCAGGATTTCCAGGGCTCGAGTCAGCCCTTCCGTTGTTACTTACTGCGGTCAACCAGAGCCGCCTTACCCTCGATGACCTAGTTTCTCGCCTCTTTACGAATCCTCGCCGAATATTTGGTCTACCACTAACCAACAGCGCTGGTGGTAAGAAGACTTCCGTTTAAATATTTTCATTTGTAAAAAGTTTTAAGCACCTTTAAGCATATAATAATTGTGTATATGGTAGTTTTGTTTGATTTCTGTATATTTAAATTTTTCTCATTCCTGTGTTATAATATACTTAGGTTGCTACCTGAGGCTAATTTTTGTAGTTTAATATCTGCGGTGGCCCAAGGTTGTCTTGGACGATTAAATGGTGGAGCTCTCAACAATTTAGTTAGTATAATGAAATACCATGCCACTGAAATTTGCTTAACCTCATCCTCCTCAAGGCTTCCTAATCCAGTTTGGGTTGTATTTTCGACCGCGCTAACGTCTTGGAAGCCCGCTTAAAACGGTGTCAATCGACCACACAACCATCGCTGCCAATGTATCTCTACCCTTATATTTTTATATTATCTTATGTCATAATTGTTGAGCTTACTTCTATTTCGAGTGAGTGCTTGGTGAAGAGATTCGAAGGTCGATCCTTCCAGAAAACAACGACGGATTCCTCTTTACCAGCTGTTGATTGGCTTTACTGGAACATTCTTGTTGACGCTGTTTCCGAGTTAATCTCCTTCGATTCCGGTGAAAACATGTTAGGCTTTCGTCCGTCAAAGAACGGGCATTATCAGAGCAGGTTATCAACCTTATAAGCGTATTCAAGCTAAAGAGTCGAGAAAACTCGCTCTGTGAATGGATAACGACTTTCTTCTAACATAATAAGATTAAAACTACAAAATATAACCCTTAAAGTATATTATTTTGTGCTACAGGTTTACTTGAATTGACTTTCTAAGATTGCATGCGAAGAAATTATAGGTTAGCTTAAATATGGTTGTAAGAAT